GTCCCATGATCCTCCAAGTAGGCCTGGAGGCGAAATCCAGAAAGCCCGAAACTGCCAAGGAGCGGCAGATGCTGGACGGTGCAGCGCCGCTACAACGACTTTGCCCAGCTGGACGGCGACCTGAAAAAGTCCAGGCACCGCCTTGAAAGGGTTTTGGGTAATTTAGGAGCCTAAATATTGGCCAATACTATTTTTTTTTTTTTTTGNNNNGGTCCTTATTATAGTTATAGTTATAGGATAATGGTCCCCGAAACCCTATTCTGATAATTAAGGCACCTATATTGTGGGGTATAGGATTTAGGGTTAAGGGGCTGAGGCTTCCTGGAAAGTAGCTCCTGCAGGGTTCAAACAGGGGTCCTGTTAAGATACTGTGAGAGCTCCAGAACGGTGTTGTGCTTGCTTCATCATTTTGGGTTCTAGAGCTTTTCCTCATGGGGTTGAGAAGTGCAGGGCTTGAAAAGGGTTGCAGGACTCTGGCGTTTTGAAGGAAATCGCAGGGCCTAGCAAGGTCTATCTAGCATAGACAGGAGCATGTTGGGATTCGCGGCGTTGCTGGGTGGTGTACAGTCTTGAACAACGCTTGAATCTAGGGCTGGAGAGCTTGTTTCCAGGGTTCGTAGGGTTTCAGATGGGGGTTTCTAAGTATCCGAACATCAGGGACTCCAATAAAGACCCTTAGCCCCTTACTTGTAACAGTATGAATAGTAGGATTCTTGCTCCCACCTGAAACCCTAATTCACGGTGAAATCCGTGATTTCAAGTGAAGTACCCAGATGGTTTTCAGGGCTTCGAGAGGCAGGTGTTGGCACAGGAATTGTTGTTTAGAGGGGTTCAGGGCTCCGGGTTCGGGATTTAGGGGAAAGGAGAGCGCGGTCAACAAGAAAGACATAAACTGTAACCGGTGCCTCAGTAATCTGCGATAAGAGACCTTTGTAGTCCAAGTCTAGCAGTGTAGCTCCGGCTGTCACATGTCCAGCAAATGATGCAAGATGGTGGATTTCGAGTTCAAGGTTGCGGATAGCACCGCTGCCCGAAACTTCCCCTCCACAGCTCCGCATGCAAACCTATACCCTTCACTCCAAGTCCCAGCTTACTGTAAACCAGGCTAAGGAACAAAAACCAAGTACAGCCTCCAAGTCGTCCCAAGCCTATCATCTCGTGGTAGTCCAAGCCCGAACCGCTAAAGCTCCTGAACCTGACAAAGCCTCCAAGTTAAGGTCCTAAAGCCCTAAAGCCTAAGACCGTAAAGTCATGTATGCAGGTCCTTGGAAGTTCCAGAGCTCCCTGGCAAGGAGGTCTTGAACCCCCTGAAAGTCTTCGCCGGTGCCTTAGAGAGTTTTCCAAACCCAGAAAAACTCGAATCATGTCAAAAAGATGTCCGCACGAGTCTTATGGGGATCGAACTTTAGCTCTAGACCGTGCTCGTTCTGCTCACGGTTTGCGGAGCTCGGCCCTTGCAGACCGCAGACCGGTTCCTTCCACCTGTGAACCGTTGAGAAAACGCCTGCAGCTCCCCCAGATGCCACAGTCAAAGAGGATTCGCCTATCAAGGACCGCGACGGTTTCGCTGACCGTCGCATGGAGGGGCTCAGAGGCTACCTCGAAAGCTTGGCATCACAAGTCCAGACTCTGGCACAGGACCAGGTGCTGGAGAAGATCCTCGGCGAGAAAACGGAGGGTGCTTGGAGGATCATGGGACTTATTAACTCAGGTTATAACTAAGGTAACTATAATTATAACCCCAACTAGGATACTTATAACCTTACTTACTAAGTCCCATGATCCTCCAAGTGGGGGTGCAGGGGAAAAGGGGCGGGGGGGTTGCTTGTCTAGGGGCCCTTCTAACAAGGATCCGTGTGCTGCATTTACTGAGGTCCGTTTCTGATAAATGCCCAATCTGTGTTATGGTGGACTCGGCCCTGTGCCAGTGGCAGGCCAGTCATTACCAACAGTCTCCCCTTATAGTCCCTATATTGGACCTTCAAAGAGATACCCCGAAAACCTTGGTCTACTGATGAAGGCCCCGATACTGTACTAGATGTTAGAAGCTCTACCGGTGCCAAGCCTTGGATCGAATTGAAACGTCTGAGGGTCCCCCACCTTACACACCCTTCGCATCCCTTAGTTTGGTCCTGGGACCTGAGGTTTCTGCAGGTGGACCTCACCACGAGGACTGAGCCAGGCCTGTCGACATCCCAAAGCCGCATACTTCTGGCGGGCCAGAACCCGGAGTTGCCTTAGAATCTGGGGTGAGTAGGGTGTCAAGATGGTATACATCTCCCCGCAACAGATACCAGAAAGGTCTTTGCTCCTGGCTGATGGTTGCTCTGTGACAGGCGAGGAGGAAGTGGCGGAGCCTAGCAGCACGGTCTGAGTCCTCAGATGTCAGGGCCAACTGGCTGTGCCGGCTGACAGAAAGTAACGTAGGGTCCGAAGATTCGGCAGGGACTTCTGTGGGGAAAAGCCTTTGCAAGGGCTAATTTGCAGCACTGCCCTGATCAAAAGCTTCAGCTTCTGCAGCTCACCCCTATGGCCAGGTGGAGTTCACCCAACGCTGACCCGGGCTGCTGGGTCTTCGCGTTGGCTTCTTGGCTTGTGAATGCCACACGCCATGCTTGCGTAGGGAAGCATCGGCGTAGACGGCTGGATGCACACAGTTTGAGTGCTTGATGGCTTGCTCGCAGCAGGTTCTTGGTTCAATGCGGCAGCCGTACGGCAGCTGACGCCGTTCATTTGGCAAGTGAAAAAGCGCTTTTCGAAGCTGTGGCTCGTGTTCCTCGCTACCACACTTGCAGACTTTCAGGTTCCGAACGGTAAAGAAGCCTTCAAAATCCTTCAAAGACGAAACTGTGTCGTGTTCAGATGATCCAGCCAGTGTGGCATCAAGCAACTATGACCCAAATGATCGTTGCTTGCGTTTTCCGCCAGACGTCGGCTCCAGTAGAACACGTACGAACCTTTCCGTTTGGGGGAGCTTTGCCGCCTGGAGATGCCGAGGCGACAGAATGCGAAGGCGCATGTCAAGCGTGTGAAAGCTTGGGGTGTGGGTTTCGGCCAAGGCTGGCTTTGCGATCTCGCGCTGTAGGACTTCAGGCTTGCAAAGTCTGACTAAGCGAAGATTCCAACAACTGCTCATATGAGTTCAGAACATATGGACGTTGCAAGACATCTAAACAAGCAACCTGCTCTGGGCAACTCTTAATCTGAGCAGGCCATGCTTATTCTGCTGGCTGGGCTTGCGGTGACACTGTCGAGGCCACTGCTAATTCTGGGTGACAGCTGCATGGCAGATCATGCCAGATCTGATGGGACAGACTCAGTGGCCGTCAGGTTCACAACCTTTGCGACACCTGCAGGACACCTGCCTGCACCCAGGGCAACATGCAATCTGTCTAGGTGGAAAGCATACATGTTGCGAGTATGCTGCACTGCAGAGTACAAGAGTCAAGACACCCGCATCCTTCAGCAATGGCACGCCTTTCAAGGAGGCTCTTCCCCGCGAAGGGATTTTCTGAAGAGCATGACCGCTGGACTCGCAGCCGGAGCAGGCATGCAGGTGGTCGATGTCCAGCCGGCGTGAGAGCCTCATGTTTTCAACTGCGAGACACAGAACGTTTTAGAGGGAAAGGAACTACTGTAGCTTCCAGCCATACGACGACTCAGCGGGCCTTTGCTGTCACCCATCATGCCACATTGCCAGCATTGGTACACGCTGGCACGCACTTTGTATTCGTGTTTGCGTGCACACGTCAGTACGTTTAATAACATAGCACGTCCCTGTGGAACCCACCATGCCTTCGGATGCCTTCGGTGGGGCTTGATCTTGATTAGCTGTGCTGGGCTCTTTCGCTCAGGGCAGGAAACAGAGCATCCGGTGCATGCATTGCTTACGATGCTCAGGCTTACCTTCCCTGTGTTGCACGACAAGTGCATGTGTGTTGCATCCGGTACCGTTACATGCCTTACCGACATGACATATGGGTACCCGCATGCGTTCTTTACACACCCTAGTGGGTTGGCAGGCAGGTCATGTGTGAAAACGCGCAGTGGCCTGCATGTTTCCGAGCTGCAGGTGAGCGGTGTGTGCATGCGTGCGTGTGTGAAAGTCTGCCACGATCCGTGCATTTTATTACGTTGGTGTTGTTCCTGAGGCGTACAACTGGTTATGCAGTGTCGAATGTTTGTGCGTGTGTGTGTGTGCGCACCCTTTCCGTTATGTGCATACTTTGTGTATGCATGACAGAGAGGTGGGTGGGAGGGTGGGCGGCCGGGTGGGCAGGTATAGAGAGAGAGAGAGTGTGTGTGTGTGTGTGTGTGTGTGTGTGTGTGGGTGGGTGGTGTGTGTGTGGTGTGTGTGTGGTGTGTGTGGTGTGTGTGGTGTGTGTGGTGTGTGTGTGTGTGTGTGTGTGTGTGTGTGGTGCGCGCGCGCGCGGTCGCGCTCGTGGGTGCGTGGGTGCGTGGGTGCGTGCTTGGAAGGCCGTCGGTTTGGTA